ACCGTGCATATATATATATATGTGTGTATATATGTGTGTGTGTTTTACACATGGGTTGCCTTTCAAATGCCAAAACTGTCCCAAAGGTATCTGTTGGCCATCTGCAGCGGTTCTCTCTTCCAGAATGGCCGGTGCGCAGCAAACGGCCGCTCAGCTCAGCACATGAAACGTGCGCACCAGCAGTGTGATGAGATCCCGCATGGTCCTGAGGATCCGAAGAGAGGCGGTCCGCTGGTGGGTCCACTTGGGGAAGAGGGAGGTCGAGAAGTGGTAGGAAGGCGAGCAGAGATGCAAACCCAGGAGTCGCACCCCCAATCCTTCTCTTCCATTCCGAAGTGAAGCCAACGAAAGCTACGGGTCTCCACTGGCAGTTTGATATCTGCACCGTTGGTTTCGCTTCAGTTCATCACCGTCTCCTGGACAACGCCACGAAGTGAAAGATCTTGTCCTCCGGGACAACGCCGTCGCGTCCAGTCGGAGGGGGAATGGCTCTCCGGTCTGTCCACCGAAGGCGTGGTGGAATGAACCACCATGGAACCAGGGCATCTCCAGCATGGCAGTGGATCATGGCACCCGGAGTCCACGCGACCCCTAGGGGTCAAATGAACAGATTCCGCTGGCTGTTTTGGTTGGGATGTCCAAGCTACCATGGGGACTGGCGGGAGAGGTGCCATGACGAAAACAGCCATATGTCTCATGTCGCAGTCCTACATTGAACTGCACTGATCTGGACGATCAGCTAAACCTGCAAGCCCTTTATGCCATCACCTCCACCCTTGGCCATAAATCCATCTCCCTTCAATCCCCTCCTGCTCATCACAAAGCTCCAGTCGGAACTTGCAGGTGTCTGTTGGGTGGATTATCACCTTGGGATAGTCCGCACTGTAGGGCGCCATCACCTGCCGATGGGGTCCACGTCTCATCACGGATTCGAGGCGCCGGCGATCAGCGGAGTTCTTGTCGGGTCAGCGGAGTTTCTCGGCTTCTTCCGTGCGTTGAACTGTGATCCTCACCCCAAAGTTGACGTTCTAAAACACCTTCTTAAGCTACACTTCAGAGGTTCGAAAACAACCCCTCACTGTTCACACCGGGAGTGGGAGTCAAATGGAACTTTGACCATAGTCTCTCCGTCGCCCAGCCTCACCACTACCTCGGCCAGCCCCAGGATGCACCACCTTCACGTGCTCCTGCTCCAAGCGAGCGCACTCCCTCTCTCTCTCTCTCTCTCTCCCTCCCTCCCTCCCTCCCTCGCTCGCTCGCTCACTCACTCACTGACGGTTCTGAGGTCATGATTCTTTGACACAGGGAAACCCCACACGCCAGCGTTATAGCATTGCTAAGCAAGCACTTCTGGGGGGTGCCTTCTTTGCTCTTAAAAGATCCGCCAAAAAACTCACAGAGGTTGATTGAACGTGTTTTGTTGATTGCTGATGCTGAAAGTGTCGAAAACATGTTAAAGCATCTCTTGCATCATGGTTGCCTTTGAGAGTTCCAATTCAAGAACCGTTGGGCACAGTATAAACACCGTGTGACAATGCGTTTTTCTCATGCAATGCTGGATGGAATGGTGGGAGACCTAAATCCACCAACTCCGAAACCCCTTTGGCATCGAGAAGACTCGAGTCTTACGGCCCTTCGGTGCAGTCTCCCCGTGTGGTGCGGTCGTCCTGCGTGACATGGATCTGCAAGTCACGCCTCAGGACTCGCGCGCGTCGCTTCGCTTCGATCGTGTCGGAGCGTCCAGAAGGGCCGATCCGAACGATGCATCTCGGCACCGCAAGGGACTGCACTCCTATAGGGTGCATGAGTTTCATCATCGGTCATCCCCGTCTCAAGTCCAGGATTTCCCCAGTCCCACCCAGAACTCTATATCCCATGAACTCCTTCAACCCACCAACACTCTCTCCCCCAGTCCACACTGACTGACACTCTCCGCCCAAGCCACGGATGGGGGTCGTTCTGGTCACGGAAGTGCCGCACCGGAAAGCGCGAGGCGCCGGAGGACACGATGTTCTCCAGGCTCATCCGTGTGATCGGATCCAGCTCGAAGGGTCCAATCACCGCCTGCGCCTGGGGTCGACCGCGGTGAGAGGACGGAGGAGACGATAGGGGGGGGTGGAAGGTTGGGAGAAGGAAAGCTTTTGGGATGGAAGAGTGTGGAAGGATTCGAGGATTTTGGGGGTACATCCTGGAGATTGCTCCTCAGAGGATCTTGAGTTTGACCCGCAACAAGTGGTACTTCGCAGATGCAGTCGACAGTCCACCCAGTCAGGCTCCCCCACCACCCCCAGCTGTCGATGACCCTCTGGCTCGGCGAGGCAAATGATCTGCATGCCTCAGTGCCCGACTTGGCCTGGGAGGGTCAATATGCTGACACCACTGCAAGCATCTGAGAGATTCAAGCGATTGAAGAGTAGCTCACTAGAGAAGACAGTCCGTTGCCCTTCTATCCTGACGCACCAGAGAATGAGGAAACCAGTCCTCGAACCTTCATTGCCTTAAAGTCTTAAAGGGTCTCTTGCAGCAATCGCTTAGCCTCCGATTGAACGATTGACCTCTCCAATGCAGCAAATCTAAGATGTGAGCCCACATCATCTGCCGAGGCATGATACCTCGGGCGGCGAGCGGTATCAAGACACCAACTCCTTCATCACTCACACCGATAGTAAAGTGGTGTGGACCCTGAAACACCTGCTAAAGTGCCTTGTGGTGTGAAGCTTTGGTGGGCCACCAATTCTCCACGACTCAAAGGCCCACAACCTCTGGCATTTCGGAGAGCCACCGTTGGCGAAACCAAACACTCCAAATCCCAATGCAGCAGTCTGCCTTTGAGCTAGTGCCCCGCCAAAACTGGAGGAATCATGTCAACAACCTGAAATAAACCAATCAGGTCACCAATCAGGTCACGAAGACCTTCACAAAGAAGGCAGCCACCTTTCTGCCTTCGGTCGCCTTTGGGGTCTTGATCCGCTCGCCGAAATCAGCTCAGCTCGCATTCGGCTCCGCCGGGCGACATGGACGAGGTGATGCCCGGGATTTCCACCGTGTGCGAGCCTCGGGCCGAACGGATCGGTCAGGCCGTGCCGGCACCGTCGGAAGGACGCTACTTGGTCAAGCGTCCTTTGCTGGCTAGTAGCAATGCAAGTGACGAACGCAGCGATGCCAGGAGCTACGTTCGCAGCGTCCGATCGCTTCGTTCGTAGCGATGCCCTTTGTTACAAAAAAGGATGAAAGGACTGGGTTCTGAAGATGGACTTTCCCTCCACTTGGGCACCAAGCCAATCCGCCTCCGCCACCGACAGGTCAATGGCAACGGCCTCAACAGATGCTAAACTGGATCGTTGAGTTGCGTTTAGATCTCATGCCTTTACATGGTTTTATCAGAAGGCTCACTTTGTCTGACATGTCAGGATCTAGAAGGCCTGGAATTCGCACCAGTGGCCATCTTCCGAACTGTCATCAGTGGGTCACCAGTCACCAGTCCGTTCTGTTCTTCGTGGAGTCCACCTCTGGACAAAACGGCTCGCACCTGCCCTCCGCATCACGAGCGGAAGCGACCAGCACGCCTTGAAGAATGCCGCAAAAAAGTGCACTCGCTTTGGGGAGACGAGGTAGTTGTATTATGTGTGAGGGAGGGACAAGGGAGCAGAGGGGTGCGGAATGAGAACGCAAAGATTAGGGCTGACTAAAGACAAGGCGAGAAAATCATGGAGCAAAAGGTACAACTAGGTGCTGCAGTGGCTGAAGCCGAAAACATAAGGCCAAACCAACCAGGCAAAAAAAGGGTTGGTTTGTCACGCACGACCAATGGGTTTGCGGGGTTTGCTTCCATGAACCATCTCGGTTCTTAACCGGATAGTGGGGTGCATGAGGTGCTTCATCCACGTCAAGGCGACGTGCAGCCGCTGTGTCTGCGGCTTCGGGTGATGGCACCTGGTGAAGCTTTGTTGCTCTTTGCACTCAGACAAATGGCTTGGCCTCACTAATGGTTTGAACAAAAAAGCTTAACTACAGTAAATCTGTTCTTTTTGTATGGTTTGACAGTTCCTTCTTTCAGCGCCGCCTCAACGTTGTCTTTTTACCACTTCTCTTCGTCTTCCTGGCCTGTCTGGCAAAGACCACCATGTTCACTTCGAGGTTCGAAGTGAAGCGAGAACTGGAACCTGCCATGCTCCCGTTTGGCACTGTGACAGGCACCTTTGGGTCTTTTGGACCTCAAAATTCTTGTATGGACAGCTCTTGTATTTGCACAAACCACAAACTTTGCAATTGATGGTTGTAGATTGCTGCATGTTGGCTTTCACATCTATCGCGATGCAACACTGTGTTTTTGGCGGGTGCAGGAGTCCAGCTGTTCACATGGGTAGCCCACGGCTGTGTTCCCGTGGTGCAGAAGTCCCCTCCGGTCTTTTCCGCTGCACAAAGGAAACGGAGGTCTGTGTGAACATGGAGTGCCGCATGCAAGAGGTGTCATCCTAGAGTCCTAGAGTGAGTGAACAAAATAGAACACCTTTATATATCTTTAAACTACTCTATTCTCTTCAGGATAAGCAAGAAATCACATCACCCCTCATGGCAGCATCTCTCAGCTGCTTGGCCCCTGCCTGCGGCGTTTCTGCCCAAAGGATGTGTGCCAGCACTTAAGGTTGGCTGACAACTCAGAACGTCGACTGAGGACTAAACCCTCCGCAATTTCAGAAATACAAACTGTGCCAATATGCACCAATACCTTCACTATCCTTCACTAGAGGCACTAACAGGCCGGTGACCCACCCGGATCGGTAGAAGGGTCCTGCGGAGGGTCGGGAAGACATCGCCAAACCAGCTGCTTTAGTGCCCAGCCGAACCCGCCAGCCCTTTTCGGATTAGACATTCACCGGGCGGCGTACTGGGCAGCGGTTTTGCTACGCTTGGGCGGTGTTTTGCTACGCTTGGGTGGGGTAGTTCTTCAGGTCACCGGTGGAAAGATGGGTGGAAACGTGGGTTTTCTTCTGAAATATGTCGGTGGTTTTTCAGGTCAGGCAGGATCGAGTGACGCTCAAAATGGCGCGCCCCCAAGTGACGCGACTAGTCATCGCTGCTCAGTTGATCCAGATCAAAACTGTGGAGCTGGTCGAGCCTCGTCTCGGGGCATTGAGCAGCACCAAACTGTGCACGGGGCATGTTTGCAAAATCCTTGGAATTACATTTTAATGAAAACCGGGTCCAAAGAATGGAAATAATTAACGGTGGGCCATTTATTATTAAAGAAAATGATATGCACAGTTTTTACAAGCATCTTAAGCGTATCGTCTCTTCCACCGACGTTGGGAGAGCAAAAACTTGGATTTCTCAGAGGCCATGTATAGTGTCTCACTGCAACCATGCAAGTTCTGTGGTAACACGCCCTGCTGATTCCCCGGAATGAATCGAATTCTCTTTGCTTGCAGGTGTGGGACGCTGTGGAAATCGTTTGCAATGTCTCAAAGAGTAAAAGGACCACAGATCTCTGCATAGCCCGACGTTCTGCAAAACATACCAAAACATGATGGACAAGACAACGAACCACAATTTGGAAGAGTCCCAGCTAATTCTAGTCTGTGCTTCTTTCGACACCATTATATATCCCATTTTCCCAGGAAGCAAGCCATCTGTCCGTGTAGACTCAGAAGGTGCCTTGTAGATTTTGACACCACCAACACATTTGAGATGTCCAAATGCCACAGTCCAAGCACACTCCGCCAGTCTTGTAGATCTCCCCCCCTTCAGGTCCCTGGATTCGGTGTCAAGCGCACTGCTCGACCCGACTTCATAAGCCGAAGGAGGTCCGCTGGGACGGGATGCAGCGCCAAGCCACAAGTTGGCTCGCAAGCTGCCAGGTCCATGACTGTTCTGCGACGCAGCCTGAGGCGACGTCTCGACATCGGCATGTGGAGGACTGTCAAAGGCCCAAGGTCACATCACCAAATCACTTGGCTTCAAGGGCTCCAAAAGACAAGCTCAGACAAGCTCACGGCTCACAGCTCCACGGCAAAGCTCTCCGAAACGCGACGCGTTACGCGGAGCTCGCCTCCGAGCAGATGCCGAAGTAGGTGAACCTTGGATCCCCAAATTACATTTTCTGGCACCAACAGCGTCCACGAGTTCGTTGTATTTCTCAAATCAAAGCCAAAATCCAAAGTAGAGAGTGAGGATGAGATGGGGAGAGTTTCCAAAACCAGCCGCCTCCCCACTGCAGCTTAAAATACCCTGGTCATCTCTTCACCAAGTATATTTTGTGACCCGACCTTGGTACACGTGCCAGTCAGGATGTCCTTTCTTGGAAGTGAGAGAATTAACTGACTAAAACTGAAATTTCATTTAAAAAAATAGAAAGAAATATAAGTCCTCCTCCTCCACAATCCCTCCAGGCACTGCTCTTTCCATCCCAGCTCACTCCAAGCACCTGCCCTGTTTCATCCGGCCAGGTTGACCATCCCACCCTCTACCGCTCCCGCCCTCTTTCCCCTTTGAACCGAGTCGCGCGTAGAGCGCCGCCTCGGCGTCGGTGAAGCCACTCGGCCGCCCGGCGGCCACGAAGGCGGCGATGATGGAGCTGACCTGGTCGGCCGAGGAGTCGATGGGGTCGGCCTTCCCCCCGCCCTGGGCGGCTTTCCGTCATCCCCCCGTCCCATCCAGAGGTGGTGAACACGAAGCACCTCGAAGCACCTCTGGAAGGCACCGCCATGGGGATTCCGGGACAAGTCGGAGTGGAGACGTCGAGGTGGTGAAAGAACAAGGGGGGACTCTCCAAAGAGGTCGAAACGGTTTCCAATACCAAAGGGGAAGTACTTGTCGATCTACTTGGGGGGGTGCACCAGGAGTGAAAACGTGGCTCTGTTGGCGATGATGGGAGCCCCATCCCATGCGTTACACATCGTTCCACTTCTTGATCCCCGCAAAAGAAGCAGCGAGTTGCTCGATGCCCCAAAACCTTGACACCATTTCTGAAGACAGGTGCATCTAATGTGACTCAACAAAGAGGCTTCAGAGCTGCGCGTCAAGACATGAAGAATCGTAATCATCCTTTCTCCTACCGATTGCCAGCAACACGTCCTGAGCCTGCGAGAACCCCCAATCTGTCATATGGGTTTGCAATATGGGGACATCCCAACCAATGGATGTAGTCTGTGATTGATCTCCCCAGAGGTCTTTGGAGTCTTTGGAGGGTCTCCCTATTAAAAGACACACTCGTATGGGTCGGACTTCTTCTCAGCACCCACAGCCACTATCAAATGTCGTCACGGTGACAAGGCAGCCAGCAGCTGTGATCTTCTGAAGCATCCTCAGATCACTCAGTTTTGGTGCCAAAACCCACCACCTGACATCGGAGCACTCGAGAATGAGAACTGCGTCACCAGAGAACCACACACAGTGAGATGCGTCACCCAACAATACCAAAGGCCTACAACGAAACCAGCTTTCAGAAAAGGCCTCCTGCTTTTGCCCGAACCAAATCGATGTCCCCAGGACCGTTGGATGACAGGTGCGGCGAAAGAAAGGAGACTCCGAGCAGCGGGATGCCGTGCTCACAGCTGAATTGCTTGCCCTCCGGAGTGATGACGTAGTCCATGGCTCCAGAAATGCCCACCACCTCACCAGTCGACTGGTCAACCAAAGCCACAAAGGTCAGAGATGTAACGGTTGCCCCACCAGAGAGGTGAAACTGCAAACTAGAGCAGCTATCTAGTCCAGGCTGCAGCGAGATAAGACATATGGTACCACGCAAGATTCAACAAGCACTGGAAGACATGGACGGTGGGTCACCCGGGGACCTTGCTTGACCACCCGAAACGATGAAGAGAATCAACGTGTGCCGTGTGCCAACCCACCCCCCTCGTCAACCACGGGGCTCCAGGTCCGGTGCCATAACCCACCACAGCCAACGCTCCCTGGCTCTGAACACATCGCGCCAGGTGAGGTCCAGGTCCAGCACCAAGTCACACATCGGTACTTCGCCGCGAGGGTCTTAGCAGCTTTCACGGCGCCCTCAGATCCTGGGTCCCGTGCTGCAGAAGTTGATCTGAGATACCAAGTGGTCAAGATAGAACTCGCTCTCTCAACAGCCACAAATGATCTTTGTGTGTGTGGGGACGCCCCCGCGTACAGGCCGCGTAACTCGCCGGTCGAATCGCGTCGCCGTGCTCGCCGCGCCTTTGGTGGAATCGACGCCCTTCGCAGCGCCCTCAGCGCCACTGAGGGAAATGATCTCGCTGGCATTCCCTCGAAGCACTGCACACCTGGGTGTGCCAAGCGTGTTGAGCGAGGAGGGCAGAATTCGACGAAGCCACTGTTTCGACCAAAGCGCTGAAACAAAGAAGGAGGCTTACAACTCTACGTAGCTCTATCTCTTGCTGGGTGAGCCTGTCCTAGACCAGCTTGCTCGCCAAAACAGTCCCAAGCCGCAACGAGGATGTATTTGGATGTATCTTGAGCTTGCTAGCTTGCTCCACCCAAGTTCTTTCATTTCAGCCTAAGCAACTCCTGGTGCAGCCAGATGTGCCATCTCTTTCTCATGGTGTCACTCTGTGGGGACCCACCCGCGATGCTTGGCCGCACCAAGAGGCCCTCCCATCTCCAAGAGCTCAGTCGCCACGGAGGTCCTGACCGGTCGACCGACATCGTGGGGACGGTTCAGGGTCATGCTGGTCATGCTGGTCTCAACATGTCCAACTGGTCATTCTGGAAGATGTTCTTTCTGGTGAACGTGGGTGCCGATGTTCTTTCTTTCTTGGAAAGGGTGGCGATCCTGACATGTCCAGAATGGCGGTGTGATTCCGCTTTGTTGCAATACGATCAATGAGCTGAGTTCGTCTCTGGTCAAAGTGAGAAGCCACTCCGACCAGTATGTGTCAGCATCAATTGAAAGGCTGTATATAAGTCATCCATAAAGACTCCAATCCAGAATCAATCAGTTCCAATCCTCCCCAAACACCATTGAAAGCCCGCTTTGCCCCCTTCTTTTTCGCCCCCCCCAAAAAACAACAAAAAGATCGTTCCATCTCGCCAACCACCCCCCAAAAAGGAGGCACTCCCAGCAGTTCTTTTTCGAAAAGAGCCGCTACGTATCCGCACCCCCGGTGGATCGCACAACAGCGGATCCTAAGACGACGCACCGAACCGAACCGCGGACCCCGAATCCGGAACGGCGCCTGAGTGGAGTGAAGCCAGCAGCGACCGGGTCCAAGACCCACGGCACTTGGTGCTCGTTGCACGCCCTCGTTGCACGGGGGGAGACCCGGTGGCGGCGCCAAACCGAGCGGTCGATGGAAGGTGCCCACCGGTCGGTCGCAGGCGGGTTTGGGTGGGTGAAATCCAGGGGTCCCCGGATTTCATGAGAGAGAAGAGTGGGCATGTTTGAGTGGTGACCATGTTCAAACTGCTCTAGTAGCTCTGCGCGGCTTCTTTAAAAGAACATGGTGTGCAGATTGCTGTAGGGGCGCCACTCCCTAAAACAAAGGGGTTCCAAAGGGTAACCAACCAAGGCGCTCAAATGAATGCAAATGTGTATGCGACACGCAAGCTCAAGCAAAGCTTTTCTAGCGCGTGCGGTCATCGATGCCTGTTTGAGGCGGCGTCCAAAAGCATGCGAATCAAATCAAATGCGACATTCCAAGAAAGCCACCACCATACTTCTCACATCGGGGAAAAAGAACGTTTCTTGGAATTCTTTGCCATCCGTTGCTTGCGTCGGTCCCGCTGTGCTTTGCGGATTGCTGACCTTCTGCTTTCTTCATCATGATCTTCTTGTGTGGCGACAAGGCACAGGAATTGGGAAGCACGAAACTTCTGCAGCAATTCTGTACTCATGTCTTTGGTAAGTGGGTCAGCTAATTGCTTCCACGTTGGCACCCAACGTAAACAAAGCACCTGGTCCTCCACCAATCTCTTTACCATCAACATGTCCAATGCTGTTTGTTTCTCACTTGCCATGCTTCCAGTCTTATTGACATGGTCATTGAGACCTTTTGCATCGGTAATGATGGTACCCCCAATGCTCAACTCCTTTCTCCATTGGGGGGAGATCTCACAACAGCCATTGTACAATGCGTCGAACAATGCTCTGTTGTAAAGGCTTCTGTCAGCTGCTGATGTCATCGCGCATGCTTCAGCAGCTAAACTGGACCGAACAACCCTGTGCACTTTACTGCTGTGGAACTCAAGCAGGCTTGCCCTCGTTGGGCGAACTTCAACATTCTTGCTGGTCACAAAATGAATCTCTGCCTGCTGAGCACACATGGCTTCTGTCTTTCCGAGAGAAGCATCAAAGTAGCTCACGAAAACCGGAGTTCCTTGGATTGGATGCAGAACATTCTTCGCACCTCCCACCTTAGCAGCATCTTGCATCTGGGTCAACAGTTGGTTGGCATTGATGAGGTCCTTGCCTGTTGCTGTCGCGACCAACTGAGACAGAACACTCACCCTGTACAAAAACTCTGGCATCACCAAATGCGCTGGCCACCTCAATTGCATTGCAAGCCTTCTATATGATGACAAATGTTCTCCTTCCAGCTTCGCTTCCTTCTCTACTTTCACTGCAGCTGGCTGAATCTTCAACACGTAGTCGGTCATGTCGTCAATGAAGGTTTGTGCTTGAAATGAGGTGGTCACTCCCAAAAAGGTGATGCTCTTTTCCTTCAAGTTCTGCCACTCTTTGATATTGAATTTGGAACTGATGGCCTGCTGAGCTTTCTTCATCCTATAAGGTGCTGTCACAAAAAGGCCATCATCAACGTGCAAACACAAGATGGAGATCACTTCACCGTGGTCCTTCATGATGAACGTTGCACGACACATCTCCAATTCAATGTACCCCAACTCTTCCAGCAACTCCTCGGCACGTAGATACCAAAGCCTTGGTGCCTCTGACAATCCATAGGCCGACTTGCAAAGCAGCAAAAGCTCATATGGTTTGATTGCTGTTTCATTGCCAACTGCTGGAAGGCCTTCTGGTGGTGCCTTGATGATCACTTTTCTCTCAACTGGTTTTCCCGACAAAAATGCCGTGCTGACATCAAAACATGCCGCATCCCAGCCACGAGTGAGAGCAATGATCTTGGTCAATTGTACTGCCGACCATGTAGTCGTTGGGGCATCTGAGCGGAATGATCCCAAGTGTGGATCCAGGTGACCTGGAACTACTAGCCTCGACTTGGGCTGGAAGGTTCCATGGAGTTCACCCTTGTTCACTCGAATGAGTCTTGCTGGAGCACGAAAAACATCATTTGGATTGAGATTCTTGATTTCTTCATCACTAAGGCGGCGAACCACTTTGTTCTCAATCCATGACGTCCACTCCTTCGCGTCACTCTTCCTGAAGGCTTCCCTTTCCTCTGTGCTGAAGTGCCGGGGGTCGAGTTCTTTCCCGTTGGGCTTGCTCAGCAGGAGGTATGCTTCTTGGAAACTTTGGTGATCTTCCTCATGTCGCCTCAGTTCCATCCATTCCTCCAGATCTTCTACCCTCACTTCATAAATGCCATGAGGAAGTTCCACCAAGGCATATCCTTCCTTCTTTGGAGTCTTCTCGACTTTCAGGAGAAATGTTGCTCCCCTCCATGAGTGTGGTGCCTTTCTCTTAGGTCTCATTTTGACCTCATCCTGATCCTCCTGGCACAATATGGCTGTGCCACTCTTCTCTCCGAACATCACTGTGATGCGTCCTCTGCCTTCCTTTGGAGGCTTTTGGAACTTCTTCCTTGGTGCATTATGGAACCTGATACCCGTGATGGGCAGATCGAGCAGCTGTCTCATCTTCTGTACTTCTTGCCTTGAGGCCCATTCATTTGCTCTTCCTGATCCTTTGACCAGACTGAGCATCGTGTAGTGCATCACTTCTGGTGTGAATCTCTGTGCAAGCTCCTCCTCACTCAATCCGGGCCTTGGCATCATCAACTTCTCATCCATCCTCCTCTGCTTCAAGCTTAGTGGAACATCATCTTGCAAGACTTCTCGCAGTCTCTTCTTAAATCCTTCACTGTCGGTGCTTCCCAGCTGCTTCGTTATTGCTTCATTCAAGGCCTCATCTATGGCCTTCATTGCCTTGTTCTGTTCTGGCGTGTCTTCCTCAATGACTATCTGCTCTCTTACCTCCTTCTTCTTCTGCTCGTCCTCCAAGCTTACTGGTGTTTTCTCCAACCTCAGCTTCGGAATCCTCTCCTTCTCTTTTCTTATCGTCTTCTGAACCTTTCTCAGGCCCCTCAAGCTTTTCGCAATCTCCTTTGCCCTGTTCTTCGACCATCCTCCCTTCTTTCGGACGATCACTTCTTCCTGGGGCTGCCATCCTATTTCTTCTTCTTTCTCCCCCTCTTCAGGGGGTGCAGGGAGGTGCGTCATGTCTTCGAAGTCCTTCTCGTCCTCCCAATGATCTTCCAACTTCTGAATCTCTTCAATCTTTCCTCTAAAATCTCCTCCTTCTATGTCGGAGCAAGTCCTGAGGTTGGATGCAGCAACCAAGAGACATCTTCCTCGCCAACTGACATAGTATCTTTCTGTACTTTCCTTCATAAGCACCACTGCTGGGCCTCGCCAAGCTCCTCCTTCTCTCTTGAACCGTTTTGCCGTTGGTTGGGGCGCATAGAAGAAGACCATCTCTCCTAGGGTGAATTCTTTGATCTTTCCTCGAGGCCACCTCCTTAGGGCTCTCTTCAGCTTGTCCTGACAGTCTTGTCTCATCAACGAGATTTTCGCTGCGGCCCTCATCTCCAAGCTCCTCATCACTTCTCCTTCAGTGCTCAAGGATTCTCGCAAGGCCAAGTTGCTTGTTGCATCATCATCAAGCAAATCTGGGAAGAGTGGAGCTCTTCCGAACACCATTTGATACGGTGTATGTCCTCCTCGTGTGACTGTCTGGTTCTTCGCCTGGACTGCCGATCCCAGCGCTTCTTTCATTTCACCTTTTCCTTTGGCTCCAAATTGCCAAATGATGGCGTGCCATGCATGGCCTAGCAATCCTCCGTGCCTCTCTGAGAAACCATGCTGCCATCCTGACCTTGCCCCTGTGCACCTTGAGTATATTCCATGCATTTCAAGCCATCCGACAAAGGCACCGTCGAATTCTCCTCCTTGGTCAATGAAGACGGTGCTTGGCGTGCCGAAGAGCGAGCACCAGTGTCGGTGGAATTTCTTGGCCACGTGGTCTGCTTTCCGATTTTGTAGTAGGCATGCTGCATGAAAGGAGGTTCCTCCATCAATCATTGAAAGTGCCACATGCAGCTTGCCCGACTTGTCATGCATGTACTTGAGGTCCAAGTGTACTTCCTTTCCAAAGATGGAGGTTCTGACAAATGGGTTGACCTTTGGATATCGGTCAGGTGGAGCCACGGTCTCACACGTGGGGCATTGATGTGCCTCTGCTGCTTTCAAGGTCTCCTTGGATGCACCTGCCAAAGTCAACATCTTCACCAATGTGGCCTTGGTGGGGTGTCCCAACCGTTGATGAATCTTTGCTATCTTCCAGGCTGTTCCTCCTTTCACTCCTTCTGCTGGATCTTCCTTCGGTTCAACTCTTTCTTCCAGCTCTTCTTCTTCCATAAGCTGCTCCTCCTCCATATTGCCTCCTTCCTGCCTCTTTCTCTTCTTCATCAGGAACTCCTCGGCTCCTTTCACCACTTCCTTGGCGAAGCGGGTTGTATAGCCTCCAGCAAAGGCAGAAACTGGAGTCCATCTTCCATTGATCTTTGCACCTCCGACTACCGGAGTGTGTTCATGAGAATGGTCACACATCTTGCTGCATCTCCTCAAGATCTCTTCTGTGCCTCTCAATCTGGTTCTTTTCCGGAGGTATGGACCTTGAGGGAGGCGAAGTCCATACATGCACATATCACATGTTGTGTCCCCGGTGCCACTAAAGGCTTCTTCGATGAGAGGTTCTTTCCATGCAAGTGATGGTTTGGGGTTTTCATCCAAAATTGCACCACCCCTTTTTCGTTGAGCCATGGTTGCATCTCTCACGAACCTCAGCAACATTCTGTTGTCTTCTTGCTTCTCCTGCAGCTTGACTCTTTGCAAAGGTGTCTTCATACCCAAGCTCTGTAGTGGACTCCATGGGCCGCATGGCCAAGCTAAGACCAGGAGATCAGGGTCCACACGGTCAATGTAGGCCAGGGCAGCATCATAGTCCTGAGGTTTCATCAAGTCCCACCGAGGCAGAGTCACCGGCTCGTGGAAATGCCATTGCCGAGCTCCTGCAACCAGAGAAATAGCGCACGTCCAAGTGAACACCTCCAGCACAGACCACCTGCTGCGCACTGGCCTCACCTTCCTCTGAATGAAGGTCTCCTTCATGTCTTGGTGCCCCCTTTTGTTCTCCTCCTCTTGGTTGAATGACACTGCAATTTCATGGACTGAATGTCCCAGCTTCCTCCTCATCTGTTTGTTGAGAGTCTTCTTCTTCTTCCGTGGTAGATCATCTTCAAACTCCCTTTCATCTTCATCTTGGGTTGCTCCTCCTGCTTCTTCAGAGTCGCTGGAAACAGCCTCCACTCCAACTTCATGGGATGACGAGGTGTCTCCACTTTCTTGCTCCTCACTGGTGCTTGGCTCCTCCCCATCTAAGTCTTGTGGTTCAATGACCTTGACTCCAAGATCTTCCTGCAGTAGTCGGAGCCACTCTTGCTTTCGCCTTTCTCGGGAATCCTGATCTTCTTCTTCCGTCTCTGACCCTCCTGCTCGATCTTCTGTACCTGACGTGCTTTCCTCCTCCTCCTCTGCTCCTTGCTGTTCTGTGACAAAGGAGAGGGATTGTGGGTTCTCCTGTAGGACCTTCTTCCTCCTATTGCCTTCCGGAGAGCTCCAAAACAGGATGGCCCCTTTTGCTTCTTGTGCCTCATATTCAAGCAGATGGATACCAGGGTGTCGAGTCCAGGTCAGGATCATCGGCCGACTCACCTGATTCAGCTCCAACTCCTTCTCACCAAAGCGAAAGACAGCTTTCCATCTGCTGAGTTCGGATGGTCCGATGAGTCCTGGGCAGCTCATAGCATCGCCTTCCACCATTGAGATGCGGACAACATCCCAGACTCCATGAATGCGGACTGGGTAAAGGAAGGCTGTGGTACTGATCACTGGTGCTCCTGCTCCGAATCTATATACCTCATGTTCCTCCACCTGCTGCCATGGAACTTGAAGTAGGTTCAAGGCATGCTGAAAAGATTCATGCCAAAGGCGACCTCCGACAGCATTCCGGCACCCAGAGTCAGCTATGGCCAAACCTGGAGTCTGAAGATGGGGTGGCAACTTCCTCTTCACAGCATTGTACACCTCCACCTGGTGGGGCTCGATGTACCAAAACTCCGTGATAGTATGCCTTGGTGAGCGCTTCAACGGTTCCTTCAAACCCACTTCCGTTCCTGTGTAGTCATCCTTCTGCAAGACAGTGCCTGTCTGGTCCTTGGTGACTCGACAGCATATCTGATGTGGTGCAGGTCCTCCGTCATTGATCTCTTGAAGAGTCATGGCCTTCTCCTCTTCCCTCACCCACACCTTTGCTTGCCATGGAACTCCGGTGGGTCGATCGTGAGCCAATTCCACCATCAAGGCTCCATGTTTGGGTGTCCAATAGATCACACTCTTCAACTCACAGTCCTTGCACTTGGCATAATGCCCATCTTGATTTGCACTCCACCTCAAAGAAGCGAATGGGTGTCGGCACTGAGCTTGTTGTTCAGATGGTGTGGGTGCTGCTCTTGATGGGATGAGTCTGCCTTCTTTCATCTGATCGGCATAAAGTCGCTGCCGAAAACTCTTCAGCTCCTGGTCACGTAGAGGTTTGGGGAGAGAGTCATCTTTCTTTGGCGGCGCTGGTGCGATAGGTCCCTGGGTCTTCTCTGCCGCTGAGGATGCGCTTCCTCTTTCTCTTGTTGGCTCGTCATCAAACTCCCACCTCCACTTCTTGTCTGGGCCAAAGTCTGGGCAATATTCTTCCATCGTTCTCTGACATGCCTGAATCCTCTTCAGCTCGGCATAGGCTGTCTGCTCTTCCTCCTCCTTCAAGGCTCTCTGCAGCCTTTTCTTGTCTTCCTTTGTCATGCTCGGCAACGCAGCTAATACCTCCTTGGATTGCAGCTTGACGGATCCATACCCCTTCGAGCCACCTCCGCTGGACATAGAAGCTGCTGCCATTGCCGTCTCCTTGGGTACCTCAAAGGTGAATGGTGATGTCGGAGGGGTTGGTTCCACCATTGCCCAAGGTTCCTCCTCCTGCTTCACATCCTCTTGCACTTCTTCCTTCATCCTCTTGTGGACATTCATCCGAGCATCCATCACCTGCTCTTGCCCACAATTGCCACAGAATCGCTGCTGCTCTGGGACCGGCCACTTGCATCGGGGACAGTGGCCTGGCGGTGGAGTCTCATCCTGTCCCGTCATGAAGGTGAAATGCACCGTCTGAGCTGGTCTCTTGGTGTTGGATGGTACATGTGGTTGATCTCGACCGCTCAGAACATTTGGGCAGCATGCATCACCTTTCCAGTGTCCCATCTTTCCACATGATGAGCAGCTGCTTGTCTTCTTCTTAAGGTCAACTGACCGTCCCCCTTTTCCTTCTTGGCCTTTGGCTTCCTTCTGTGGGTTCTTCCAGCCTCGATTCTTCCGGACCTCCGCTGTTCTTTGTTTCGCCTTCCATCCTGCAGCAAACACTTCTTTCATCTCTTCAGCGTCCCAACTTCCTTCATCATCTTCGAGATCTCCGTCTTCTTCTTCAAGGCCTTCCGCATCCTCCTCAAACAGGATGTCCATTGCCTCTTCTTCACCTTCCGGGATCTCTGCTTCATCCTCCTGCTCTTCTCCTCCTTCGGGATCTCCTTCTGCAGCGAGATGAGCTCCATGGTACTTCTTGACGCTGACCTTCTTCTTGTAGAATTGTTGTCCCTTCGGGCGAGGTGTCGGGCCTCGATCTTCTGAGAACTTGAAGCTTCCTCTCTTTTCATCTTCATGGATTCTGCTGCAACGGATGCGAAGTGCCTTCTCAATTGCTGAGCTCTGGAATCCTGCACCTGCGGCATAGTAGACATCGTGTCTTTCTCTTCTGGACAATGATGCTCTCTGCAACAACTTCTGTCCCCATGCCATGTCAGAGATCTTTGACTCGGGATCCACACGACTATACTGAGCCCTCAATCTCTTCATCTCCGACAGGTAATGTGCAATCGTTTCACCAGGCTGTCGTCTGCACTTCTCCAACTCCTTGTCTACCCGCTCAAACAGCTCTGCATCCGACTCCTCGAAGGCTTCGTCCAGCACCCTCCACAACAATTGCAAGCCTCCAGCTTCAGTGTATGACTGGATGGGGTGTTGTTCCACAACATCTCGGGCCTCACGACGTGTCGACAAATAAATCAACATTGCCAACTCATTGCCCTCCAGTGCATACAAATGCTGTTGTGCCTGAATTGTGCGCTTCCACTTCAAATACCGTGTCCTGTCCCCCCAGAACTCTTCGACCTTCACTGACCCCAAGGAACTCTTCGGCCTATACCCGTCTTCCTGTTTCAACCTTCTCTTCAACATAGACCGAATCTCTGAGGTCGCTGCAGAAGACTGTTGTGAGGCTTCTTCCATGTCCTCTGGGTCTGATCCTGTCGGTTCAGAAGGTCCTGGTGGTCCTGCCGGCATTGACTTCTTCTTTGATGGCTTAGGAAGCTTGGGAGGTAGCTCTCTGGCTGGGTCACTTGTTCCGGTCATACCTACCGGCATCATTCCAGGTCCTGGCCAAGTCATGGGATAGCCAGTCATGGGCCATGTTGGCATGGTGCTCATGCCTGAGGCTTGCATGGTCGGTGGTCCGAACATGCTAGGCTGCATACCTCCTGTTGGCAACACAGGAGGTGTTTGGAACATGGGATGCATGCTTGGCGGTGGTGTGGGCATGTGGTGCGGAACATTGCATCCACACCCTGGGCCATAGGAGATGGGTGACCCCCATGGTTGTTGCATGCCTCCTGGCAACTGTTCCAATCCCGGAGCTGGATGGGTCCATGTTGTCGCTGGTCCAGTGGCTGTCATCATTGGGGTGTTGGGACTGTTGTTCCCATTGCCGGCATAGGCATTCATCGGGTTTCCATTGGGTGTTGAGGGTTCCACAACAACAGGTCTTTCCGCTTGTTCACCCTTCTCACCCTTGTTACCTTTGCCTTTGCCCTTCCGTTGCCAAGCATCACCAGGCCTCATAGCTTGTGACACAGAGCCCGTCTCTGTGCCCTTGCCAGGCCCTGTTGAGCCCTTTCCCCCATGTCCTGACTGCTCTCGCCACGGGTCCTGACCTTGCTGCCAGGGGTCCTCTTCTGGAAGAGGTGTGGCTGCCGCATGATCCACCGCTTCTCCATGTGGCACCTCCGCAGGAGGTGCTGCAGCTGGCGCAGCTGCTCCATCGCCATGCGGGTTCATCGTCATGGCTCACTCAAGAGGGCGAGGTTGAATGTGCGATTCCCCCTTACCGCCCCTCAGGGGCTCCGCTACCAATGTGCAGATTGCTGTAGGGGCGCCACTCCCTAAAACAAAGGGGTTCCAAAGGGTAACCAACCAAGGCGCTCAAATGAATGCAAATGTGTATGCGACACGCAAGCTCAAGCAAAGCTTTTCTAGCGCGTGCGGTCATCGATGCCTGTTTGAGGCGGCGTCCAAAAGCATGCGAATCAAATCAAATGCGACATTCCAAGAAAGCCACCACCATACTTCTCACACATGGACCATGGATCGCCAGAATGGACCAGGTTGGTCAAACGAAAGAGCTCACCACCGCAAGCACTTTCCTCACTTGTGTGATGACACATAGTTTCCCCAGAAACAAGCAAGAACTACGAACATAAGGCGTGAACCGTCCATGGTGGCTTTGCTGGGAACTACTCCATCTCTCTGCCTTTTCTCCAAGCTGCTTCACGGCACACTTGAAGGACTCAATCCTGAGCGCATCAGTTGAGGAGATTTACGCAGATCGGCAGGGCTTAGCACCCAACTGGGGCCTCTCAAGAAATCTACAGAAGTAGGTCTGGCGTCACCCAACCGGTGGCCGTGGATCCAGTTCTGAAAGAATGAGGGACCCAGAAGCTGACGAGTGCGCACGGTTTTGACTCTCCTTGACTCCTTGACTGAAACACCGATTCTCCCGCCATATCACATGGAATGACATGAGGGCCAAGGTTCCAATGGGAGTCCAGAGTGCCAATGTTGATGGAGACTGCCCCCTCCGCGGCCTTCACTTTGCTAATCGCCTCAAGCCAGTGCAGGGTCGGAGGGTCAGAGGGTCAGAGGGTCAGAGGGTCAGGTAGACTTGGGACCAGTGAAGACCAGTGAAGATCACATGTTCTTCTCAGAAAATCCATTGAGAGACTTGGAATATATGGTCATACCGCCTTCTCACCTCGGGGAGACGAGTCCAAACCGGACACCGTGCCACAGCGACCCTTCATCCGTCGGACACCGCGTCGACCGCTGACAGAGAGAGGGAGAGTCAGTCGTGATCCATCGCAGCATCGAGGGAGCCAACGATGTTTAAGCGTTCAACACATCCCTGCCCGATCCAAGCAGTGTGCATAGGGGTCTCCCAACCAGTGGATTCTGCGTCTGCAGGCGCTTTCCGGGCATGTTTGCCTCCCTCTAATTTGATATACACACCCGCTTACACAACCCTTATGGTACGGATGGATTCCCATTTTCCCCTTCCCGACTGAGCTGCCACGTCGAGCTCCTCCACGGAATGGACCATCGCCGGGTGTGCGCCCAGCGCCAAAAGGCCATTGGCCATGAAGTCCATGGAAACCTCGGCGAACTAGGCCAAAACGAGAAAGCCGAGAAACCCCGAGTGGTGAGGCTGAAACGAGACATCGCATGAGCCGAGAATCAGGCACTGAGTCGAAAGCATCGGTAGAGACGTCGGGGGGGAGAGGTTCCCGCAGTCTCCAGGCTTGACCAGAGTCGGCAAGATGGGGCTGGGAGTGGTTTTGATCCCAGAGACCTGCAGAAATGAAATGGAAATTCACAGAGCTACAACAGAATCATGACATCTCACCAAGCCCATGGATTGGGTAGTCAGCACAGGCGGGTCAGTTTCGCTTGTTCACCCCCAAATGGGTTCGAAAAAGATTCGATCTTCCCCTTTGAAGCATCCACACCATCGAGCAAACCCATGCTACAGGCGATGCCTTCGCCAGGGATGTTAGGAAACACTATCAAATTTGACCAGATCTGCTGAGCTCCAAAACAGAATAGGGGGTCGCATGAAACGGTAACATGTGCTTCCAAAGAAACCACTCACCATCTCACGCAACATGTCCGCACCCCATGCGTGTCGTATGTCCTGCATCTGCTGCCATCGCAGCCGAGGAACATAGTTGGTCAGGCACTGGATCAGCGGGCCCTTGGCCTCGCGAGAAAACACGCAGCCGCGTCCGAAGCAAACGCTTCGACGGTCGTGGGCGTCCGGACGGTCGCGTTCGTTTGGAGAGCGGAGAGCTTTCCGCCCGTAAAGGTCACCCCCTTTGGCCGCACGTCCCGACGTGCGCATTTCAGCGCCACACGAGCGAACCGGGACGAAGATCCGGGTGGCCTTGACAGCCTGGACGATCTCCTGCAATCGCTCCACCGAGCCGTTTTCATCCATGGCGGTCGGCGTCTTGGTTCAGCTCTCCAAGCGCGGGCCGAGGGCCGACGAGGCCTTTCTAAGGCCGGGGTTTTGGCAGGGGAAAAAGGACTGAGCACTGGTGCTGGGGCAAGCGCAGTCCCCAGGTCTTCTTCGCGCATGGCTGATGGGGAAGTGCTGTGGGTCGGAACTCCAGATATAATCTCGGGTCTTTGGTTCTGAATGGCTGTGAAGAGGAGCAACAGTCAGTCAAAACTCCTTGCAAATGATAATGTCTGCAACTGCTTGTGTCTGTTTTGTGCTAGAGCTGCGATCGGTGCAATGGGACAAAAGAAGCGGCGGTCGGTGCAATGGGCGAATCCAGGGTAGAAGTCCGTCTTCAAAAGATTTGTGCCAAAACGCCCCTCTGCAACATCTCAGGGCAATGATGCAAATGGGCTCTCACCAAACATGCAAATAAAAAATCCCGGGCGGTTCATGGATTTTGAGTGAGTTAGACAGTTAGACCGACCCCTGTATTAGAGCAAGAAATCTTGAACATTCCTCCAAGTGGAGGAAGAGTATTCACCATCAATTCGATCTTCTTCAGCCCTGGAACGCCCGTTTTCGGAACATGCCGGATGGCACTTGTACTCACCAGAGACTCGCCCGCGCCTGCGAGAGGAGAACGTTGGGGGCACTGTAACGAACGGCACCAGTTTCGGGGAAACGAGCGGCAGGTTCAGATGCCAAACTTCGATGAGGGGATTGGAGTGGTAGGTGGTTTTGAACTTCCAGATGGTGGGACAGAGATAAACTCGAAAGTGTTCTTCCCTTAAGGCTTGCACCTTCCGGAAGAGAGGGTGCAGCTTCCTAGACTGGTGGAGGTTCCTGGAGATTGTTTCTCATCTTCTAGACTCTCGACTCTGCATGGAGACCTTACTGTACATAAATCCATGCAAGCGAATCGCTTCATCAGTTTCTCAACCCCAAATGCTGGGCACGAATGGGAACCCTGAATCCCGTGAAGCAAAAATGCCCGGGTCGATTCCTCTGGCGCCTAAAAAAAGAAAACCAAGGAGGCTCAAGTCCACCCTGGAATCCACCCTGGGGTGGGGGGCGTTTTCATGCATTTTCCCAGGTTCTCCCAAGGAATTGGCGAAGAAAATGGAGTCCTGGATTCGAACCTCAAACCGCACGAGTGGGTTCAGAGCCTTGTGGAATCTCAACCTCAAACCGCACGAGTGTAGGATTGGAATCCACTTAAAGGAATCAAACCATCTATAGTATCTACATGTAAACCAAGGAGCAAGGGAAAAATGTGCTTGCGCTGCTCCACAGCGCGAATTGATCGGGTCTTTGGAGGAGTCCATGCTCTATACCTTGAGAGGTTTGGCGGCTCCTCCGCTCCTCTCCGCTCCTCCGCTCCGCTCCTCCGCTCCGCTCCGCGCCTCTGCGGTCCTTCTGCTCCCAAGAGCTGTGAAGCTTGATCCTCAATCCACGCGGGGCTTGGACGCTTCCGGCGCGTGCCGATTCCTGGCTGGGTATGGCCCATATGGCCGGTTCTTCCGGCCGGCGGGCCGAAGGGGGTTTCTTCTGAACCGATGCGTCAGCATGAGAGAGCATCCGGAAGTGGAAGTGGACAACTCCCTAACAAAGACCACCGACCTCTGGTTCAGCTTGGTCTTGTGTAGTGGCATTTGCTCATTGACGCCCAACGAAAGTCAAGGGCTCTTCGTGCCCAGTGCCACCCACGTCTTTAAACACTATAGTCTGCTCAAGCGTGGCCACGTTGTAGGCTTAGGTGGTTTTCGCTCCTGGCGCAGCATTGGCTGTCCATCTGATTGATCCTCTGGATCTTCATGATCGTGATCTGTATGTCTTGCCTGTTCTCCAGACAAAACCCGAAATCTTCAAAGAACCATCTGAACCCCCAACGTCGATCTCGATTCTTGGTTCACTTGAACACTAAACCATAGAAATCTGAGAGCTGTGGCAGTTAATCAGAGCACTTGAGTGTTCTTATCTTCTCCCAAATCTCTGGTCGTGGCGGGCCACCGGTGGCACATCATATGCCACCGATTCTGCATCTTTCGACCCAAAACCCAGCTCGAGCCGTTGGCCATCTTTAGCCCCAGTTGCTCGGAGCGACTCCCCCAAAGCCTGGCAACAGCCGGCAGCGGTTGTGTTGGCTGGAGGGAAGACCGAACAGGCACCGAATTCATGGTATACGGGTGCATGTGATTCATCGGAGTTCCAAAACTTACAACTTCAAACTCGCCCCTATAGCTTTAAAAGTAGAGGGCGGTGCTTCAACTTCAGAGGGACCCTCTTCAAATTCCAAGCTTCTTTCTGTCGGGACTTGACAGGCCTCTCGGTCCCACCCTGACACGCCTAACTTCCACCGTTCTTTGGCTCCATGGAGAATTGCACGCGGATCGTTCGGGGCGTTGGTGGATCAATGTCCTGTGATTTTTGTTGTGTATCCCCACCATGGCACGACCACTTGAGGACCAACCGCCATATATGGCTTCTAGAGAACATCACTGCCCCTGCTGGGTGTTTGGACCCCCAAAATGACGCTCTGAAGACTATTGCGTTTACAAAAGCAACCTGTTGCTCCATGCTCCTTCAGGACCGGGTCCAATTGCTTTTGGAAAACTCTGCAGGACCGGCACGCGGCTCCACCAAGTTCTGCCTCCAAAACACCCCGTATGTTGCTCCGTTTTTTCGGTCCAACTCCACAAAAGACCACTACTTGCGCACTTTCGACCACCTCCCCACCACCATCGACAATGCTTTGGCCTTTCCTGCATAGCTTCACACGACCAACAAACACGAAAGCACTGTCAATTGTAAATGACAAAGTTTTGTCATACTCCAACCAACCGACAAACGGCCCTGGCTAGTTCGGGATGCAATAAAAGCTAGTCTAAACTGTGGCATCACTCCGAGGTGGTCATACAGGTACCAACAGAGGTTGAAGGACCCTATAGACAATCCCATAGGTAACTGAACCTCTCTTGGTATAGTTTGGCCACAAGCTTTCCCCCAGCAGTCTCTGGGCTCACCCTTTCCAAAATGCCCCATTTGCAAGAGAGATTCGACCGGCTATGTAACGACAGGAGGCCACCGCAATTCACCCTGGAGGCCACCACCTTGTCCACTCCCTTCGGTTTGCCTCGAAGTGGCCAGCGCCTGGGTCCCCCGGTCGAGCACGGTGGAGAAGGGAAGAAAGACTAAGAAGAAAGGTCCAATGGTGACGATGGGATGATCAAACAACTCAGCACGTGTCTACAGGTCCTTGTGATTTACAGTGGTTTCAGCGTAGATGACCCTGTCCTAGACAGATGGGCATCCATAGAAACCACCGACATTGGGGTGCCATCTACTTCTTCTCAATCTGTCAGAGCTCTTCGGTCTGTTTATCTTCTTGTTTACCCTGGAAACAGAAAGCTTAACGTTCACAACCTCATCTCAAACTCTTTCCTCAGTTTTGTGAACAGGATCAAAGGGTTTTTGGACCAGGTCACCATTTAGTGGCCTTCTAGCTTCTATCTCTAACAATTCTGCGGTCCGGTCATGCTGCGCCGTGCTCCAACGATCTCTGACTATGGGAAGAATCGCCTTTTTCTAAGGATGCGCGACGACAGGCTGGGCCCTCAAAAAACTGAGGCCAGTGCAGTCAAAAATCTCCTGACCCTGAGGATCCCAAGAATCATTCAGGCTTCAAGGCAGTGAATCTTGAGGGTACCAAGATTCAAACCCTCTCCAAACGGTCCAAGCCCCCAGCAGGAATGTGTTTCAGAATTCTCAGGGTCATCCTACAGTCACAAAACTTTGGAAGAGCTAAGATGTCTATAGGTGGGCAGAGGCCCATACATCGTGTGCGCATTGGGCCAGTAAGCAGACGGAAAATGTCGAAATTGACCTAGACTAAGAAAAGATAAGAAAAGCAATGCGGCATCTCACACCTCAATCATATATTCAATCGGTCAGATATTCTTATCGAGGTCCCGCCCTGACCGCTTTCGACGTCTGTCTGCTCACCCCTGAGAAATCCAGGGACATTCACGTTCCAAACGAATGTGGCCCTCGATCGGCGATCGCAGCCGAGGGAAAATGAGCGGCGATTCAGGGTGAATGACCTCGGGGGAGGTCTGAATACATCAACGCTTTTCGGCCGAAACTTGACCTGCAGACGCCCTAGAAAGCACAGGAAGCATCTCCAGACGCACTGGTCAGTCAAACGCCACTCCGCTTCTGTGATGATTTGGAAAGAGGGGGAATGCCTTCGGCATTTAAAAAAGGACTGGACCACAGAAGCTCACTGTGAAGATCGTCCAAAATGCAAACCGACACATTTGTGAAGCCAAACACTCAGGTTGACGAAAATAAGGCGAACTACACGTGCACTCCACAGTGCCTATGCTTCGATGGACACATCGAATCCGAGCTGCACTTCATGGTGAGTGCTGACCCTTTGAATGGCGGAACGAGGCTGGAACGGCTCTCCCTTCTGTGTCCAAAGGATTTGATCCAAACAGATACGTTTCATAACAACCCCAAAAACTGAACGAGAACTGCTCCAGCTGTGTTCGGCTCCACGCCACTGGCCGGCTGCTTCGAGTGAACGGCACCCCCATCTTTCTCCCATCGAGGTGGGAAAAAATGGAGGAAAACTGCTCCAAGACCGATGGAATTGGGATGGCTAAGAGGGTCCAGTTTTCAACGCCTGTCCATGTTTGTTAAAGATGCATCAAGCCAAGGGTTTCTGCGCCTTTGAGACCTCCTGCGGTTCCCGCACTGAACCGGTCCCTCCTACCCATCCTTCCGCTCTCGGCGACTGCGCCCGGCTGAATCCGTCAGAGGTTGGAGCGGCCAGTGAGGTGGCTTTCCGGCGGAAAGAGGATCTGGGCGAAGTCCAGAAAGGACAAGTCACCTCACAACGGTGGGCAAAGTCCAGAGTTGGGGTGACGGAGTGGTTAGTACCGATGTAGTCGTGTTCGTGTGGAGGGTGGGAGAACTAGAAACATGATGAAACATCCATCAAAGGTGATCCAAGCAGCGCCGAAACGTTCACAGTTCCTCACTGTTCGCAACCTCTCCTTCACCTCTCCGTTTCCAAACTCCCCTTTGAGGACTCGGCCACTCCAAGCCTTAGCTGCTTGGGATGCCCGGTGCTCGGCCCGGCATGGCATCGAACGTCCGTCATGGCCGTTTGGCCAAGAGCAGAAGGTTAATGGTTGGTGGTGTAACAGATCCCGCGCAACAGACCCAACGCTTTTCGTCAAGCAAGCTATGAAAAGCTCCAACAACTCACGGCCAGGGCACGTGGATCTCCAGCAGCAGCTCATCAATCTCCTTCAAGAAAGAAGATACCCTGGTACCCTTGGGCAATTCTATTTTAACCATCAGAGATGATTCCATTGAAGACATCCAAGAACCAGGGGGCCACAGGTATGTCCAACTGTGCACCAGACTCCTGAACATGATTTTGGAGTAGTTTTTCGGTCTAGAGTCTAGATCCAGATGTCCAACCACTGGGCGTTTGGACATGACATGGAAACTTCAAGTTCCCCCATCACCCTGAACGAAAAAAGCACCCAACACCCCGTTCTCCAAAAATAAAACGGTTCTTATCTCTCACAAATTAAGAAACATGAAGTTGGCCTTGAGCTCTTGTCCGCAGCTCAACTCAGGTCAGTTTGTTCCATGTCCAAGACAAAGCGTTGTTTGGTCGAATGGAAAGACTTTGCTCCAGCTTCATCGCTTAATTCGGTAGTAGCTTCATGTAGCGATGGTTCTTGGTCTTTGTGTTTTTCCAACCGTACGCCGTACAGTCCTATCCCACCCATTTCCGCCCCTTGACTCACGACTCGTCGGTCCTTCTCACTCAAGCCCGTACGGCCCTGAAGAGGAGGGTGGAAGGCGTTTCTGGATGGGAAAACGGCCCCCAAAGCCGCCTGGGATTCAATACAGGAAAACCAGCACCTGCGCGTTTTGTCCAATTGATTTGGGAGGGTTTGGCGAATTAGGGTGGTGCAAATCTCGTGAGCATTGAAATCGCCAGCGCTAGTCTTGAGCCACGAACTTTTGGTCAAGTTCTGACTCTATTCATTTGGACTTCCGTATTGGAGGGCAGTTGATATGAGCGCAAGGGGATTCTCTGAAGCTGCCTAGCAGGTGCGAGAGTAAACCCCAATTACCTGGGCAGAACAGCTAATTTGCCAGACCGCGGAAAGCATTTTCCATACCGAACAGTGAACAGCCCTTTTGGAAGTGCTGAACCCTATGTTGAACCCTCAGTCGTGGCAAATCATCCCAAAGGCCTTCCAAATCTCCTCAAATCTTCCCATCCCTGTTGACTCACTCCAAGCGGCAATTCAAGTGCAAACTGCCCCCCTCCCGTGCTCCTGACCTCGAGGAGCGTCCACACCCATGTTCCTTTGGTCGCGGGGAAACCGCGTGGTTCCACGCGCACGGCGCGCGTTCCACGGGGCGCCTTCTTCAGGGTGAAGTCCATCTCCTTGAAACTGATGCCGCCGCTCTCTGAGAGGTCCCACAGCCGGAAGCTGGCCAGCCTGGTCGGCACTGGGTCGCCAAAGAAAGGGAGCCGGGGCTGCCATCCCAAAGATGACCTCATAACCGTGTCGCATCCTAAAAAGATTGATTTAAAAATAAGAGTTGTCCTTGCGTTTCGGGAAACAGAAAAAGGCGGATGGCCCTGAAGACTGCCATTTACGTCTAAGCACTTTGTCTTCTTTGGAACTGCAGTACCTACTCCATCATCCATGCTGGCGCATGTTTCATAAGAGACACTGCTCGGTCGCGGTCTGAGCTTTGGGCAGCGGGATGTGCGTCAACGCATCATCCTCGGTGAAAACGTCCCAAAAGCCCGCACGTCCAAAGGTGCTTGTCCATCCAACGTCCCATGGAAGTATCAACGAATGTTCTAGACCTGTAGAAGTTCGTAGACATTGAAATCCTTCATGTATCCCAAACACTCCATGTATGCCATATATGCCTACATTGACCCCTCAAACCACCCCAATGTAGGCATATATGGCATACATGGAGTGTCTGGGTATGCTAGCCGCCGCTCGCCCATCAGTTCGTAGACATCCGCCCACCGACCCTTCGACCCGACTGCCCCCAGCGCGCCTCGGGTCGCAGCCATTCGACCTTGGGTCGAAGCCACGCGGTTCTGCGAGCTCCCGCGATCTTCGCGAAAGCCCCACAACGACCGGCGGCCTGAGGGAGGTGTGTTTGGTACTTCGAAGTGTCAGAGGCCACACGTTGATGGCCTCTTTCATTTCGTCACCCTCTTTCGCTCCTTGGCGCTTCTTGTGGCCTATGGTCTCCGAGTTTGGGGCACTTCGGGAAGACTCATTCGTCTCACGTTCTGGCAGTTGGGCTTGGAATGGAACAAGACCCTCGTTCAGCACGGCCCTTGGGTGAAGAGAGTTCACCTTCGTCCGTGGCGAAGAACGATCTTGCTAGTTGAAGGCAGATTGGTTCTGGGGCTGCTTTAGGAAATCACCGCCCTTGCATCGACGATTGCGCTTGTTGCGCTTCGGCTGTGGACCCAGGCCACGGCTCATGGACCACAAAACATCAATGCCAAGACCTCCGCGCCACCAAGCCGACTGATCACTCATTCTCCTCCGACCTGGGCGAACTCCTCTAAGGACCAAGCGAACTCGTTGAAACTGATCGAACCGGTCCCCTGACAGTCAGCAATGGCCCACTCCTGGCAGCGCGGCCACACGGCCCACCACGGCCCTCAACGGGGGGAGAAGGGCCGTGGTCTTCGACCCCTGAAACGGGAACTCCAAAAGGAGGCGTTTCGTCTGGCCAGTGGCTCAAAGAACCAGTGGAGAAACCAAGGAAACCGTGAAAAAAGCGATCCGCAAATACCCAAGAAAAGGAGTGGCAAAGGCTGAAAAAAGTGAACAGCCACTTCTTGCCCGCAACCTTGTTCAAGGGCCACAAAAGCCAATTCCCCAAGTTCTTTTGACAGATCCTTGTCGATCTGCTGTCGAGACATCTCCGGGAAGGCTCGCCGGAGCATCAAGGAGAACTCCTTGGGCCGCCCGTCGCGGAACCCGTGACGGTCACTCGGGCTTACCCTCGACCTTCGTTCCCAAAAAGGGGTCCTTTAAAGCTACTGAGCTGGCACACTCCTCCGGTGCTTCCACACTCCTCCGGTGCTTCCACACTCCTCCGGTGCTTCCACACTCCTCCGGTGCTGTGGCAAAGGGACATGGCCAATGCTACCTACCAGACCGCAAGTCCAGGCCGCACCGGTGGAATCACGATCACTCTTCTTCGATCGGCACCGGTGGTGGTTGACACATGTTGAAACTGAGAATGGATTGGTCGTTTTGGATCTTAGGATTCAAAAAAGGAACTTGATCGATTCCTCAACCCCCAGAGCGATGGTCTCAATCTGAATCCAGAAAAAAACGATACTCCAAACTATGACAACCAAAACAGTGTTTTACACAAAATATTGGAAACTATAATTTCAACCTTTCGTGTTTTATGGCTCTTGACTACGTAACTCTATCATATCTTGGAATGAAACACCCACCAATAAATTATTATAACTTGATTCTGGTCTTGCCTCGTCCAGCCACCGACGGCCGGACGGCCTCTTCAGCCAAGCATCTGCGCGACTGAGCTGGTTGTCTCGGTCCTGGAGTTTCGAACCCGTTTTTTCGAGGACCTTCTTGTGATCACCAGGTGTCGTTTCTACAGAGGACCGGATCACAAGGAAGCCTTCTACAGAGGATTTGAATGAACACAGAGGACCCTACAGAATCTGCAAAAGGCTTCTGATCCTCTGTGTTCATGGTGTCCTTTCTCGGCCATGCCCCCCCCCGTCTCCTTGTCAGCAGCACTGAAGCTTGCCTTGAGCACCTCGGTGTCGAGTTCAGATGGTTTTGCAAAGCCGATTGGCAGAATTCGCAAACACAAATGTCTGATACTCTTTAAGGTCATGTCAATGTATAATCAACGAATGGCTTGCTCGAATCCTTTTCCCGTGTCAAAACAAAACTCCGCTCCCACACCCTCCGGCCACGCCGCCGCAGCCCGCCCGCGCTCGGAGCGCTGGGCGGTCAAAGCGCTAAGGGAGTCCAGTTGGATGGCACGCAAGGCGGGGCGCGCGGCGAGAGCTGCGCGGGCTTCCACGTCGGAATCGCTCTCTTGGCTCCTTTTGGAGGAGATCAGTCCAGGTGGGATGGAGACCTTGCTCATGAAAACAGAATGGGCCAGGCTTCTTTGTGTGGCTCGAATTCAAAACAGGTGGTGGAGCCCCTCAGAATAATATGCCCCAGAAAAATCCCCAACAGCTGGGCATCAAAACGCGCCTACTAAACAAGTTCACCAACAAGTGGCGTGCCTTTTCCAGGCAATGCGTTCTTCAGTCAAAAGAGTGAGCCTTTGTCTGCCGGCAAGTCAGCGCAACAGCACGACCCATCTTCAGCATCTCAGCGTGAAAACATGTCAGCGCATCAGCCTGACATCATGTCAGCGTGACACCACACAAGCATATAAGCGGGACAACACGAATCGGCGAACTCCTCAGCGCGTAAGCATCTGCAAAGTGTTCCAAAACTTCCACCAAAACCTCCTCCGGAAGCTCAAAGCTCCAGGGCCTCCTCCGCAGCATTCTGGAAGTTGCTCCGGATTCTCCTCCGGAACCTGATGTGTTTTGGACCCTGCTCCGGATGCTGCTCCGGAACTTGCTCCAAAACCTGCTCCGCAAGTTGTTCCAGAACCTGCTCCAGAACATGCTCTGGACCTGCGCTGGAACCTCCGGAACTTGCTCTGGAACATGCTCCGGAACCCACTCCACGACCTGCTGATCTGCTCCGGAGTCTTTACTATCCCTAAGCTTCGCTGTTGGGGAATTAAGACCTCCGCATCCATTGACAAATCCTCGCAATTCTCCTGAAGAGGCTTCGACAGGGGAGCTTCTCCCGTGGAGTTGACGCAACGGACGACATCGTGGACACTGAGCCACTTCCACAGCGCGAGGCAGGAGCGGAGCGCCGTAGCTTCTCGCTGTACGTTGCCTCCGGGAATCCCGGTCTCGATGGGGCGTTCGGTCGGATGCTGGGAAGCTGATGGGTCGGGGCCAGAGTCGAAAGCAACACCCAAACCTGGTAGAGGATCGTTCTCCGGACTAGTCCAGTGAGCTTTGTTTCGAGGAGGTCATCTACCCAAACACTGCTTCGGTGTGTCGAAGACATTTCTTGCATTTTGTCGGGTGCCGCAACGAAGGTCCAATCTTGAAAAAAGTCAGCATCTTCTCAAGCACTTAGGATCCTCAAATCGCCCTTGTTGGTTTGTTGAAAGAAGAAAATGTCCAAAGCTGGGGGCCTCAGGGGGCATGAAATACATTGCAAATTGACAGGGCTTCCTCCATCCCGTTTGGACTCTTGTGAAATCATAGATCATCCTATTACTTTCTGTCGATGCTTTTCAGATCCACTTGCACTCATGTGACAACGGCTCCCTCGAGAATGGCTCTCTGGAAACTGCTCAACCAAAACCACACCTTCCATTGCCTTGTGAGTGAAGAGTAGTTCTTGGATCTCAAAACAGGAAAATATCCAGATCAAGCACCCAATCTCGCAGAGGAAGAAACACAAGAATCAAACGCATCGGCGTGGATATCCTCCTCGATCCTCGCGGTTCCCACGCTCGCCTCATCCGCAAAGCCCGATTGAAAGGTCTCTCGATGCTTCCAACGCCCATTGCTCTCAGTGACCAAGGGAAGCCGCCCTGGTACACGGACCTGCGACTTCGGGACAGACAGTCTGAGTGGAGATCCCATCATTCGGCATATGAAAACAGTGTTGAAAGGTCCAAGGATTAGTGACCAGTCTCATCTTGAACAGAGGTCCAGTGTTTGCTGGTAGATCATCCATTTGGGCGCACCCATGGAATATGGCTTTCCTTCGGCTTGTCTGATCTCTTTGGATTCCCTCAACCATCCAACGAGCTTCGAACGGGAAAGGCGACGGTGACAACACCAAGCAGCGAGGAAGCTCGCACGGAAGGAATCATCCTTTGAGCCCCAAAAAAGGTTCGTGTGAGCCATGAAGCCTGGCCCTGGCCAGGCCCAGGTAAGGCCCACGGTCACAACAAAAACTCCAAAAAAAACAAATCCTCGTCCCCCCCGGTCACCTCCTTCCACTTGGTGGTTCCTCGAAGGAGGGTGGCGCCACCTTCCGCACGGGCCTGGTCTGGTCCGTCGGATCGTGCGGGCCCCTGTCTAACCAGAGCCACGAAGCATTCCCTAAAGCTGGCCTGAAAAAAAGAGATTAAAAGGTTCACAACCACTTCTTCACCTGGACCATCCGACCCTTCTGGGTATGGCTGGAGATCCTGGGGTAGAGTAGGATAGTACCAGCCAGGACACCCAGACAGGATGTTCCTGGTAGTCCTAACTGGCTTTTTTCTTGCGACGGTCCCTCCGTAGGGATCGAAGGCTTTTGGACTAGCCAACTCAGCTGAAGCTTTTGGCCCATCATTGTTTGAGTCGATGAAAGGCCTTTGAACGACCCTTCCCTTTACACTCTTTGCTGGCTCAAAGTAAGAATCTGTGGTCTGTGACCGGCCAATATGAGAACATGGCAAGAAACCTGTGGACCATGGGTTTTCTGCAGCCCGATCAACCAACGGAGTCTCTAAACCCGGTCTTTCCGGCGGTCTTTCCGGCGGTCACGAACGCGCCAAGTCTCTGAGCACCGGGCTGTATACACCATGTTTTGGAGGGTTTTTTAGGCCGTATCTGTCCTCCTTTCTGCCCTGTCTTGAAACGAGACTTTTCAACCTTTTGATGATACAAGACTGTGCACTGTAAACCTGTGTGGGACATGCAAGGTTGCAAGCAGAAATGCATTCATGGAGAAAAAAGGATCGAGCATCTATATCAAGGACGGCAAAAACGGCCTTCAGTTGCTGGCTTAATGCTTTGAGCCAGCTGCCGCGAAGAAACGGTTGTTGCAAGGTGTGACGAGACCAACGGTGCAACAGGACCAAGGCCCCAAAAATAGCCTATGCACGGAAGATGAAGGAGCAAAAACTCACCCATCTTCGCCAGCGGCGTGAGGGCTGGACTCCGACTCCAAAAACAGTACCAGTACCACTTCACAAGCCGCGAATACAAACCTTCTATAGGACATGTTTGGACGGTTGATGTTGACACACACCCAGGATCCAGCTCCCCATCTCCATCTCCCAGCCGGGCTTGCGGACCAAAGAGGCTCCGCAGTGTTTCCATGGCGAAATTGCGGCGAAATCGATGTTTTGTCCAAACGGATTGAGAGATGCTCAAGGAAGACGGACGAAGATTCTTTCAAAACAGAGGGGGGATTCGGGGATTCTGTGGAACTTGCGACAAGAAGCACCCCCTTTTGACGTAGACTTCACCAAACTGCTGGCAAAGCTGATCAAGCCAGGTTCTTTAAAGAGAAGTGTGGATCCTTTCGAGCCTCCAGCTTACCGGTTTCAATGGAGGCTCCTTGCAGCCCAGAATCGCACCGTGTTTTGGTTCGACCTTCGAGGCCCAAGCTCGTGTGTGGCGCTCGCTCGTGTCGTCTCGAGCCTGATTGCCACGGAGAGTTTCATGGCGCATCGCCGAGGCTCGGCACCACCATCCAACGATCCAAAGAGGATGTGTCCGATGCCGTCCACGTGGAGGACCGCCCCTCCACTGTAGTTGGGATCCCCCAAATCCCACCAATCCCTCCTTTTGAGCGGCCTTTTGTCGCTGATCAATGAGCTCCGCCAGGTGACCGTGCCAGAAATCATCCGGCAGCTCCAGGGGACCTGGGAAAGATTGGCCCGGAAGACCTCCGTCTTCCTTCGTGAGATGGGGAAATGGTCTCCGGTACAACTCCATCTGATTCACTGCTTTTGTTTTGGTTCGGGAAGCTGGGGCATGCCTGACCTGAAATCGATAGAATGAATGAAGCACGTCCAAAATCTCTGTGAGGCTCAAAAAAGGCCAGCAAAGGTGATTGATGCCGAAAGTTGTCAAATTCAGAAGATTGTATTCCACATGTCCTTCGTGATCTAATCATGCCATCTAGAAATCCTAGCTCCCTTCATGGCCCTCTTTTTGAGTTTGCAGACATTGCCTTTGCTCTCTTCTCGTTCAATCCAACGATATCCAACGACCCCGTTCGGCAGCAACGGCGGCCAGGCGGCGCTGGAACTCCAGTTGCACCGGTGGCTTTCGCCGCAGATCGCGTTCCACCGGCTTTTGAGAGTCCACCGTTTTCAGCGTCCAGCCCGGCCGAACTCCTGCCTGGGCCAACAAAAACGCAGTAGCTACTCAGTAGCCCCACAGTGATGAGATTGATGGGACCAAAAACCTATCGGATTCTTCGGAGTGAGTGTCAAAGCCTCCAGCCTTGGTCCGGTCACTGATTCAGACCAACCAGCAAAACCCCATGTTTCTTGCAATTGCCTTGATTCATAGCCTGGTGCTCAACCCAGGTGCATCCCAATGGAAGTTTTGCTCATGCACCCACCAAATTCAGGTGAACTGCTAGATTCCTTCCTCTGGCTCTAATGGCATTCGCTTCCTAAAGGGACCTCCAAACCCCGATACCTCCAACCCCTCCCTCTGACATGCCTCCTTGGCCTTATCTTTGGGCCCAATGGATCGCACGAAGATCTCACCGGAACAGTGCCATTGGATGTCCAGGGTGTCCTGGCAGCTTCTACCCCAACGAACTAGGGGCGGAAGGTGCCAGACCATCGTCCCAACCACGATGAAGATTGATGAAGTACGTTGATCTTCGAGTCACCGAACCCAAGCATCAGATCCTTCTTCATCCCAAACATTGAGTCATCATACTTCTTCACAAAAAGGCCTACGAATGGATACAGGCGAGAAATCAACCGAATTAGGACTCTGTGTTCCAGGCCAGAGAACACATGCAAGGGTCAAGCAGCTGTGAACACTTATCACTTATCACTCATGAGAGAACTGAAAAGATTAATATGAATGATCTGGCATGCGATTCCAAAGGGTGTATCGGCAGGCCAGATCATCCATGGTATTTCTTTTATATTATTCTCTTTTAACTATAACTTGCGTCTGGCTAGACCAAACGGTACCCTCATCCGGGATGCTCTCTTGGCTAGACCCATGGGGCCCTCTCGTTGTTCTCTATCTTCTTCTATTTTCTGATCTTCACACTCATTTCGAACCGCCAAAGACTCGCTCCTCCTCCTCGTACACCACACGTCGCCGTCTCAGAGGCTTGGAGACCCGCGCGGCCTCCGCGCGCGCCTCCGACCACAGCTGCCTTGGAACGTGTCCACAACAGGAATTGTTCATTTCCCCTGCAGCAAGTTCCATAGAAAATCCCCGGTCTCCAAGTTTGGGACCGAGCGAACCCGAGGTCTTCGGTGTCACTCGAAATGCGAAGCGCTGAAACCGGGCACCGCCGACCTTTGAAGTGCACCGTCCGATTTCAACCTTGGCGGAGGGTCGGATCATCAAACTGAAGCATCAAAAAATCAGAGAGTCAAAACCTGTCAGAGAAGAAGCCATGTCTGTTTTCTTTCATAGGATTCAGTTCAAGAACCCATCTCACGTCCATGTCCGCTCAAGTCGTTACGAACATGCATCAAGCATGTCCAGTGCCTCCTTCTACCACGTCTTTTGCTCCAAACGGGTCGGCCCAAAGGATCAGTCAGCCATGTCGGTCATCCACCGCAACGACAGTCACACGGTGGATGAAAAGGCCAGCGACGGCACACGGTCTGACGGCACACGGACCGATGCATCGGTCCCAGAGATTGCTACACCCGATCGTGGTTGGCATAGATCCGAAAATCATGTCAGTACAGCCATTCATTGATGGATACAGTAGGATCTACAAGTCAACCTTCTGGGGATTCCGGGATGTCTTTGATCCCATGGAGCTGGGTATCTACTCCGCCGAAGAAGATTCAAGGCATGCGAATGCCATTCTCAAGAATTTCTGAACAAAGAACCTCCAAGGACCAGGACAATGTGGCCAGCCACCACTGTAGCTCTGCTCTTCGAAATTGAGCCTGATCCTGTTGTGCTGTTTTCCAACATCTCTGAGCCGGATGTGCTGGCATCCTCAGATGTGTGAGTACCCGTGGTGGTCGTGGTTGTGGTCGTGGTGGTAGTGGTGGTCGTGGTCGTGGTGGTCGCCACCGGGAAACCCATGGTGAACATGTTTCCGTTGAAGACCACCTTAGTCGATCCATCAGGCGTCATCGCCATCCAGCCGGACGGAATCGTGGGGTCTTCCACCCAAGTGGCACCACCGTCAGAGCTATTCATGACCTTTTCACCATGACCTTGCACATAAGCCACTGAAGCATCAGCTGTCATGACCACTTGATACCAATGGATTGAAGTGTCTGCAAGGCTTTCCACCCACGTGGCACCACCATCTGAGCTGGTCCAAATGCCGGCTCGTGCAGTGGCAGCAACCACCTGGGAGCCATCCGCAGACATGCCAACACAGTAGTATTCCTTTTGACTTCCGGAAAAAGCCCAAGTCGTGCCACCATCACTGCTGCTGGCGATACCAGGGGCATTGTCGGAGACGGCCACAATCTTGCTTCCATCAGAGGACATGGCGACATCTCTCCAGCCATACGATCCCCCGAAGTTGCTGTCGACCCAGGTGGCGCCCGCATCAGAGCTCGTGTAGATCTTGCCTGAGCCGATGCCAACGACCTTGGCACCATCAGCTGAAATGGCCAGGCTACTGGGCTCGACACCAAATCCGTGATAGTTCAGGCCTGCGTCGGTCCAGTTGGTGCCACCATCCGAAGTGATCCAAAGGCTGCCACCGCTTTGATACACACCCGCCACCATCTTGGAGCCATCGGCTGACATGGCCAAACCTCTCCAGTCTCCATTGAAGTATGGAGACCACTTCTCCATACCATTTCCGTTCCCAGTGCTGTAGTAGATCCCACCCCATGCGGCCACGGTGATCATCGAGCCATCCGCGGTGATGGCAGGGGACTTCCAGAATTTGTTGGCAGGGACGGATGTATCTTCCACCCACTGGGCATCAGACACACCCAACACCAAGTACAGCAAGGACACAATCTTCGGCATCATTGCTGTCGGGATTGCCAAGTGGCCAAGTGGGTCCCGGATGCTAATGATCCAAAAGGCATGAGCTGTCGGTGTGGCCAAGCGAGTCTAGAGTCTAAATGCCAAAAGGGTTCTATATTTTAACACTGGACTTGATGAAACACCGCGCTTCCGTCTATGTTTAGTTCTTATATTATTCATTATGTGGGCTTATTATTTTCTTTGTCTATGCTTTTTTGCCTTGTGAAGAGATCCTAGCCGATTGAAAATAATAAGCCCATTATTTCATATTTATTGGCCAGCCTATTTATATTTAAAGGCCTTATAGCGGCTGGCATTTCTTTAATTAATTTATTCATTATATCTTTTATTTATTGGTGTTTTTACTTATCCCTATACATTTTGTCCCGTCCACGAGAATGAAATTGAAGGTGAACTGGAATTAAAAAGCAAAAAAAAAACTCACATGTTTATCGGTTGTATGACTACCCTCATGTTGGAGCACCACTATAACTGGGGTCATTCCATTGCGATCCCACCGTTTCTTCGCGAGTACTTCACGCAGTGAGACAAAGCTTTTGCTGAGGCTCCGGGCCAAGAGTGGAAGTCCATCATGAAGAGGTGCCAAGAGTGGAAGTCCAAAGCGTCACAACCCCCCACGCAGCGCAAAATGTTGAAAACAATTGCTGGCACGGAAATTCCAGATTCGATGATGCAGAAATCGATACCTTCAGAGAATGATTTCAGTGGCCGCTGCCGAAGCGAAAGTTCCTTCTTCCTATACATCGCCACCAGCAAACACCGGGAAGATCTTCCCTTCGGAGCTTGGAAGACCCAAAACTAAAGGAACCTTTACCGCCACTATAGACCATAGCCATGGCTGAATTGGTCGTGTTTACATGTGTTTACCCTGTCTGGCTAGACCGAAAAATCTCTTTCGCACAGGCATAGTAGGGCCTCTTCACTCAGCCTTTCAACATCTCCGAAAAAGCCATGATGTACCAGAAAAGGAACTGTCAGTGGCACAAAGATGCCTGCTGCAGCAGCAGAGTGGCTTTTTGAAGTTGAGATTCTGAGGCAAGCACACAAACATCTAAGACAAACTAGTGTCAAACTAGAAACTCCACCTAAACTGACGCGTTTCAAGACTGAAGGTCACCTGTGTCCCTCCTTTACACCCTCCATCCCATAGGTGCCAATCCCTCCTTTCTTTTGGCCACAGCCACCTAATCTCTTCACTCTTCGCCAAGCCCAGCGCTTCCGCTGCTTCCGACGGCGCCTCCGCTTTGGCCGCCAGCAGCGCGCGGGCGGCCTCTGCGTGGCAGGCCACGTGCAGCGGCGTGGCGCCCGCGCGCGCCGAGCAGAGCTGCGGCGAGGCCTGTTCCGGGGCACGGAACAGCCGCTGGTGGATCTGGGAATGGACTCCCAGACATGTTTTCTTTGGTTTTGGGGGCATCTATTCCAAGGATTCATGTCAAACCCCGTGCGGATTTTCGTGTTTGACTCATCCTGGAGCCTTGGGGCGGGTGCGATTTGCTTGGCTCATTTACTCGAGAAGGGTTATCACTTATCACATCTTATCACTCCCAGACCAGTTGGTTTGTTTTGAGAATAAGAACCAACCAATGGAAGCTCACGTCGACCGAGCAGAGGAACATATGTGAACATAGCCAAATCGTCCACGTCAGGGTCACAATGAGGATTGTAAGACAAACTTACTTATTGCTCCTGCCCGACACTAAAATCACCAACACAACGGCTGCCCTGTGCAAGCAGCTGGAAACAAGGCCTCACATATTGTGAGCCTCTTGTGGTGAATTGGCCTTTCACTCCGGGGGATGGTGCTGATCTCAAATATCTGCTACATGTGTGTGTGTGTGTGCCTGTCTCGTATCACAATCGACCATGACACATACTCAAAATTCATCAAAGTGCAACTTCAATCCCAAGGACGCACCTAAAGTAGAATACATGAAATTGCCAGGCTGCCATGGCTTTGGCTCAAAATGACGGAATCCATGTAACCGGATCCCAAAAAAGATACCAATGACCAGTCGGATTCAGCCGCTCGTCGCGCATGCGTTTCATGGATCCTCCCTCAGCATTCCGTCTCACATCCGGATGTGAGTCCCTGGGGGCGCTGGGGGTGACCACGATGGATCTGCTTTTCATCCCAAAGAAAGTCTGTGATCCGGATGGGGTTGAAGAACTTCACAAACTGTCCTCCCTCTTAAACGGATTCCTCTCAAAATGAACCCTGGCTTTTGACCCGACCACCTTCGAGCTCTTTCGACCCCGAGCATTCCAAAAATAGCGCTCGACAGGCGTCACATCGGTCGCATCCGCCTTCGCATCCAGAAGCAGCTTGATGATCTCCAGTTGGTTGGCTCGGGTGGCATAGAAGAGGGCCGTGTAGCCAGACTCCTCCTGCGACGAGGAGAAGTGTCAGGAGGAGTCTTTCTTTCTTGTGGAGGTCTACTCCAAGTCTTCTCAAGGATAAATGTTCCCACCTCCCGTCGACTGGAAGTGATCCTTTTGACAAGACTGGAAAACAAAGACCCTGCCTCCTGTGCATCCAAAGAGCGTCTCGTGAGAATCCCACACAAGTGCCTGCACCTCAGAATGCCACACGGTCCAAGCAATCCAATTGTCAAACAGAGTAACTCATGTCCTTTCACAACTGCAATGGGTGACAGCCTCATGAGGCGCGGACAGCTTGATCCATCCTTGCTCGGCCGCCAACATCAGCAGTGTCTCCCCTCCCTCATTAAAGAGTGGCGTAGAAAGGTCTACGCCCAGCTCAATGAGGCCTCGCGCAAGCCACAGACACGCTCGACGCTCTCCAAGACATTCAAGACTTCAAACTTGGTCTTAGGTCAACCCTTCGAAGCGGCCACCCAAACTTGACTAGATCCACATCAATCTACCTTCAATCTACCTAATCTTAGGCCCATTGACCAAACCCGCATGCCGCACCCCAATTCCGCCGCCTTCGGCCCGTCGAGCCATCGCGTCCTCGGTCAGCGATGCGCCCTCGTCGTCGGGCGGTGCGGGTGGGCGCCACCAGTCGCGACGCCTGGAGCAACACGGTGCTTCTCGTGGTAGCGATGGCCTCCATCCCAACAGCAAACGGAACCTAATAGAGATGGCCGCCAACCTTCTGTGCTTCGTTTGGTGGAAGAGCCTGCGAAGGTGCTACCAAACATGTTGGTTTTCAGTTGTCTGTTTATAAAGCAAGCTTCTTCTCCTTGCCACAAATGCGCCCGCACCGAGGATGCAAGAAAGTGTTGCTTGGTCTCATAGCTCTTCTTACATGATGATTGCTTCTAGATGTTCCCATCCAGCTCCACTCTGTAAGAACGTTTCTCGTTTTACTTCCAAAGCTCACCTTGCGTACGGGTGACACGCAACCCCTAGCCATACTTACACCTGAAGTAAGTGACATCTTTCCTTTCCTCTTCCCGCACCTCCCGAGAGACACACCCACCTCCGCTTCACCTCGGCCCACGCCCGCAGCTGCGCCAGCTCCGCACGCGCCCAGGCTACCCGCTGGTGCTCCTCGCTGAAGGGCACCTCGGAGACACCTGCGGCGGAGAGTGGACTATAGCAAAGCACCGCATGACTTCCGCTGTTTCCAACTCCAGCTATGACCCGTGACGGGGAGTCTCCAAGAAACAGACAACGAACAAGCGTCACCCGGGGCCGGCGTCCGCCGAGGTGCCCGCGGGCGGCGCCAGCAGCACCCAGCGTGCTTGGCGATCGGCCCAGCCGTGCCAAAGATGCAAATCGCAAGGCAAATCAGAGTCCTGTAGGCTCAGGGAGCGTTTTGGGCCAGAGGCAAGCTCTGGACAAGAGCCCAATCAAAATAGCAGAAGAAAGCCTCACAGCCAAGTGATTATCAGTTGTTTTCTCCTTTTCCTTTTGGCACAAAAAGACTCAGAAGAACTGTGCAACTCTCTTTTGTCACATCCCTCGTGGATCCTTTGCTGAATAGAGGAAGCAACGGTTCCAGTCGAAGCCATGCGACTTCGCTTCTGGCCCTCCAACACACCAATGGCCAAGCCTTAATGGCCCAAAGACTTGCCATCACCCTTTTAAGATGAGTCTGACAGGACATGGCAAGGGGGCCCAAGTGTACACACACGATTCTTCAACCAAACGTGGTGATTTAAAGGTGAATGGTACCTTCATCAGAAGATACCTCTGCAAATGTCTGATAAAGAACCAAAGTATACGTATAATTGAATATTTTGTTTTGTCAAAGCATGAAGACCCACAGCAACCGCTAAGGCAAAAAAAAATCTGAAACCATGTTGTTTGGGGTCCTCCAAGAATCCTC